TTCTAATACACCCCTACGTTAAATACTAATTTAAATATAATTAGTTTATATTTGTTAATAATAAAGTAAATTAAATGTGATCATATTAGAAAAATAAAAAAATATTTATACTCTGAACAAAATAAATGAGAAAAAGAAAAGTAAATCTATCTTTATCGGACCAATGAGTAAGCATTCAAACTCAATTTGTCGAGAAAATTCTAACAGGTATAAAGTTTCCACGTGTAATGTGATAAGAGTGTACATTTGTCATCTGTTTTTTACCTCAATTTTGGCACAAGGTAGAATTCAAGAAAGAAATAAGAATTATGCTATTTGTACAATATTTTTGTACCACATTGTTGACAATGTTGATTGTGGCAAGAAGATGTTTGTTGAAAAGATGAATTGTTTTTTAAATTGTCCAAAGACAACATGCCACTTGATATGATTTCAACAATATTGTTAAAATTATTGTACATCAAGCATTGTTCTTGTTGTAATAAGAAGAAAGAACCTAAAAACTAGAATGAGAGACAAAGAAGAGAAAATCCTAATAATGTTGAATCTGTTCCACCTACTACAATGAGGCAATCGTGAGTCTTAAATTAGAAGTATCCAAAACCTCCAATCCAACCGTCCATCTTGCCACGTGTCTTCATCATAGTCAAAACACGTATGTATAATNTCTCCCCCCAAAAATCTCTCCCAAACAAACTCTAAATTATATTTCTGTAAAAAATGTGTTTGTAAATATCTTTAATTTCAGAAATTTGACATACAGATAAAAAATATATTCGTCTTCTCCACTCTCGACTTTGATACCAAATAATTATGAGTCCTTTTTTTATTCCAAAATACATTCTTTCAAAATAAGGTGACTGAAACACAAATATTCAGATGTAGTTTTATTTAACTAACTTTTGAAAATACTAACCTTAAAATTTAACTGTCCAGATCCTATATTTAAAAAAAAAAACATTACTTTCGTTTTCTTCTAGATTGAGAGTAGGAAGAGAGATAAGGATCTTTGATTCTTCACCGTGAAGAAAGGATTACAAAGTCAACAAAGTTAAATCAAAATTGAAATCCATGCTACATTTTGTCCTCGTAAAATGACACATTTGACACTTATTTGATCCTCGTTATTTTCAAAATATATTTTTTTCTCTTACTTTCAACCACGTATTTTTCAATAAAATAATATTTCGCACAAACTCAAAATTTTTCATTATTTTTGAACTGCACATTCTTCAACAAAATACTATTCCAAAATATACTTGGGACAAAAAATGAGGATCAAACGGACGCTTGATAAACTTTTGAATCAATTTTGCATTACATATTGGTTTCTTTGATAATCTAAGTGCGGTTGTTATAATATATACTTCCTCGATCATTTTAAGACATATCGATAATAAGAAAAAAGGTACGTTCGTAATGAAAATGCTGATTAAATCTTAGCACAATTGAAACTAAATGTAAATTAATTTCTTGATGCCAACCGAAAACTCTAGTATTTGTAGCTTTCTTTTCTAATCAATTATCACAATAATAAAACAAAAAATTCCAGCCTAATTATTTGAGAAAATTTCCATCCATTTTGTCAGGGAGCACACAACAAGTTCCTAGTCCGATTATCTCTGACCTGGAATCCATAGTTTTTTTCTATGGTATGGTGTGTTACGATGACTTTGATTTGTACCTAAAGAAGACCAAACTGTCAGTCCCTCTTTCCTATAATAAAAAGCAAAAAAGCTTAAAAAGATCATTTTCTTTCTTTCACACACATTCATATAACTTTGTGAGAGAGAGCTCTTTGAATAGACTACATGATCTTGTCGCTCGAGGGTCGCATTTTTATTTTTTGTTGTTTAAATTTATTGCCGATTTGACTATAGCATTGGAACAAGAAAATAGCAGCTAAAAAATGTGTCATTCGTCCATCAATGGTTAGAAAATAGGGTAATGGTAGAATCCTCTCGAACGTTAGAATTGGATCATAGAAATAATAGATTTTTGATTAAATAGGCGTCTAGATTTTGGCCAAAAAAGTCAAAGACATATTTCAAATTCAAAAAATATAGTCAATCCAAACAGTTAAGAACTCTCTAATATTATTTGGTACAAAATAGTGAACAGTATAATAAAAAATTTAACTTATGCATAATTTGATCTCTCTAGTTCTCATTCATTCGATACAAAGAATCAAGTCAAGTGGTCTACTAACTCCATTTTTCTAATAGAGTTGTTAGGCTAAGGGTTAGAAGAAGAAGAAGAGGTGGGGTGTGTAGTAAGGTTAGGTGGGGTGGAGTTGAGTTGAGTTGAGTTGAGTAATATGAACAATTACAGAGCCAACGCAGTATGCGTGTGGTGCTTTTTTTGTGTTTTTTGGTAAGGATGAATGAAAATTCGACTGTAAAAAACCTGTACACCTACCATATCTCGATTAATATAGAGAAAAGCTTTATATTGAATAGTTTCCGTTTTTAAGTCAAAGTTCAGTTACGCAAAAGTTAAAAGTGGATACTTTATTCGATATGTCGTAATTTATCAAATATTGAACCAATCCAATACTTTTGTTTCTTTATTCAAGAAAACAAGAAGTGTATACTCCACAACTCTTATTCATGGTGGCACATTGTGTGATGCTTACTAATTCACAACGAAAAATGGAATAGACAGAGATAAAGCAATGTACTACAAAGTCAACAAAAGTTAAAAAAATTGAAATCTCTGCGAAATTCAATCCTGGATGTGGTCGGCAATATTAATGTTAAAATAAGCCGTTTCCTACCTTCGTGACGATACCAAAATCGACCTGATTCAGTTTGAACTGATTCATGAATTGACTAGTTATTAATTTTTATTGAGTTCCATTCATTTTTTCCAAACTTATTTTCAATCACGTATCTTTAAATTAAATAATCTTATATGTAATTTTAATCATACATTTTTTAAAAAATATATTTTTTACAAAATTCATTCTTCAAAAAATGGGGTTTAAATAGGGACGTAATAAGCTAGCTGAGTTGGATTGAACAATCCAGCCTGAAAATATATGAAGATTGACCTGATTTAGGAATGAAAAAAATTTATCTAGAGGTAAAAATTCCGATAGGCTTACTTGAAACAATATTCAAATTTAAGAGAATGTGTGATTGACAATAAATTTTTATATAATGAAGCTCGAATAGGAGCGTATTCTTTCCGTTAACTTGAATTGAGTAGTGTCAGTACCGTCTATAGAAACTTGAATATTGTTTTAACAGACAAGGAAATAAAAGACAAAATTAAATAGCACAATAATCAAGATTGGACCTTTTTTTTTTCCTTGGTATTACTGCCCAATAATGTTCGGCGAAAAGTAAAGGAAAATAGGAAGGCCAACGCGTTATCTGCGACTGCAAAGGGCATACCGAGCCAAAATTCTAACACGAGCATATACTCAATTCGATACAAAGTCTGATTTGTTTTTCTTGGAAAAATCCACTATGCAAGAAAATTGGACAAGATTAATCCAAAAGGCCCACAATATGCCCTTGGGAACAGCTATATAAAATCAAATGGGAAAACTCAAGACAGCAAATAGTCAAAAGGGTCCATGTGAATTTCTGGTAAATGTTTTCACTAACATGTGATATGGTTTCCCATTTGTCAAGAATTTTTATTTTTCCTGTCAATTTCTAAGATCAACTCCAAGTGGGTCATGCCTCATGTGCGTTAAAACGTCAGAGGTTCACTGGTTCAGGTTTCCCATTACATCCTTAGCTTGTGTTGCATGCATGATTTTCAAAATTAAAATGAGTCATTTTGGATTATTATAGACAAATGCCTAGTGAAGAAAATTAAATTTAAATAATTCATAATGGAACTTCCAAAAATAAACAAGAACATTTGTGTGAGATAGAAAGGAATTACGTAGGTCAATATAAGGATGAGATTGCAATCAGTTTTCAAGTCTTATTCATGCAGTTTATGTTAAATAAAGTCCATAGCAGCAATCGAATCTGATTTTAACCCTGTTCTATTACTATAGAAGGATGACTACGGGATTTCTCTCCATTATCAAAAAAAAACAAAAAAAAAATTATTAAAATAAACTGGTAAAGGATTAGATGGAAGAGAACCAAAATTGAATGCTTTTCTACTACATGTAAGAGACCACCCTCCAACACACGTGATATTTATTACCTGAATGATCAGATGATGCAGACATATACTTCAGATTCATGCATCGATGACATCAGATAGATCAAACGGCCACGGGACACTGATCCATGGCAAGCGGGGCCGACAAGAGGAGAGCAAAAGCAAGCAGCAAAATTGATTTGGTAACTATCTGAGACAGAAATGAAGAGAAGTAACATGAGTTATGCACATAAAGGAAGACACAAGGATGATATTATCTTTTGCCTGGTACATTTCGAATTGCATTGAACGGCCACGGGTCAAATAAAAGTTTAAACATAAAACAAGAAAAGTATAGAAGCAGCACCTGCACATATATGTCACGTTTGGCTGACAAGATCAATGAAGAAAAGAAACTAAAATCTTGTCTATTGTAGTGTCATTCTTATCCGTTCGTTACTGCTAACCAAACATATCCTAACTGTTTAGTCGTGCTCAATACAATTCACGCAGAAGGGAACTTTCACCTTGTTAAGCATCGTTCTACCATAGTAGTTGCTTTGTCATTAGTAATTTTGTTCTGAAAGCTGAGCATAAAACTGAACTCGAGATCAAGTGAGAGATTTGCCAGCCCATTCTCATTCTCGTCGTTTTTGCCTGGCCTGCATTTTGTTGAATTTCTCTTTTCCCTTCTCCAAAAGAGGGTCATGCACCACATAGTCGTTCGAGTCACCACTTCGAGACCTGTTATCCTGTAAAAGAATGCAGAAGAGGGCACAATTAATGAATAGGTCCACTAATTGATCCCTGGCAAAAAGTGGGGTCGGGGACTTTATCTCCCGTATCAGATTGACATCAAAGCAGTCATTTTTTTGGGAAAAATGAAAATTTAAAATTTAGCACATTCCAAGACTTACATTCTGAAGTTAAAACTTAAAACTAGTACCATTATCTGGTCAAGTTTCTTTATTTCCCTTTTTCCTGTTCCATAGATGATGCACCCATCATGCATGAGACACGGGCAAATACATGATTAAGAATATTGCATTGCATCACAAGACTAGCTTATGATAATTATAACATAACAAATTTTGGTCATATGCATATAGTTCAGCATCTCAAATTGAAAACAAAACAGCTAATCTTTATTAACATAATCAATACCATCACAAGTCACTTACTGGAACAATAATATCTACTTTAAATGCTTGATTTCTGCAATTAACAAGATTACGAATTACCAAATATATTCCATTGGTTTCAGAGAAAAAGAAACTGTAGAAAATGGGAGATCACAATTTGTGATTATTTATTTCTTGGGAAAACACAGTTAAGAATGTTAAGGATGTTGACGAACCCTTAGGAGTATTGGATAATTATGGAAACAGAATTCTTGTTCTTCCGTTTTGAAGCTTGTCCTTGATATGCATGTTTTCCCTCAATTTTCCTTCCCCTTTTTTCTTTATTTATCAAGTTTTGCTAGCTCCTATCACTCATGAAATACACTAATACGTAAATGTACTAAGAATGAAAATAAGAAGGTAAACAGGGAAAATTAGGATAACATAAAAAAAATCTCCACATAAAAGGTTCAAACCTAAAACTTGACACCCTCTTTTTACTATTTGTTTAATCCCTAATTTTAATATATTTTAAGATAATTATAGATGCATCATGAATCCCCATTCTTTCAGCAGTCACCTGGACCAACGCTTATCATTTTTTTTTTCATCCTTCAAAAGTTGAGAGCTCAACTTATAAGCAGTATTAATATGCACAGGGGACCTTTTCTGCAAAACAAAAATTCGAAAACTGTGTTTTCCTAGCATGCCTCTCAAACATACTTTCCCTATAGACAGAAGGTATGATCTAAGTTGCCCAACCCCACAACCACCGTCCCGGAGGGCCAACTTGCTAATAAATGTCACTTCCTAATTATTGTAAGTCAAGCTAAAATCATAATTATCAACAAAAACAAAATATTGCAGCCATTTTCCATCAGGGGAAAAGTGAAAAAAGTGTTCAGAATGGGAGAAGAAAATATAAGATCAAGCGCTAATTTCTCAGGCACACTTCATCTTCCTGTCCTTGAAGCCTGCGCCTTTTCTGTTTTTGCAGCCATCTTTCTCGTTCAACTTCCCCCAGCAACTGTAAGTCTGCATCTGCATTAGCCGTGATTTCAGCCCTGGCTTCTGATCCTATTCCCTTTCTCTTTAAAAACAACTTATCCACTTTTGGTCGTTCGTCCTGATTTTCACCATCGGACCTGGTAAACATAAAATTGTGTTATAATCTTGAGATTCTTTATGTCACACTGTTTCCAAGTAACTTAAAGGAACAAAACCTACTAGCAACTTAAAAGGAATAAAAACTAAACAAATTTTGTGACTATCAAATAAAATCACACATCAGTAATGCACAATATAAAAGAAAGACACCATATTTCACTCAAAAGTTAATATCGATTGTCTAGCCATTTCAAGTGATCAAAATAATTAATTTGAATGCCCATGAGCAACTAATCATGCTAATACACAAAGACAGGAAACAACGAGAAGAAGCTAAGTGCTGCATCTTTTCAGCACTGACTATTGCCTGAAACTAGTTAAAGTTGGATGAGGGGAAATATAGCCTTTAAATTTGAATTATCAAACCAATGCTAGGTGAAATTTCCTGAAGTAAATTGAAAGCAGAATTATTTAGTTCGGCAGAAATGACTCTTTAAATCTAATTCCACCATAAATAGTTTCTATCCAGTATTTCAACGAAGTACTTGACAACTAAGTTGTAGGAGCCGCACATATAGAAATAAATGCAAGTATGTCTTGAGAAACTGAGCCGAAGAAGAGTGACAAGGTAAAGTTGCACGAAGTTTTTAGAAGCCTATAATGTGCATAGACACTTGTGGTAGACGAAAAGTCCTAAACAATGGTATGATCTTGTTCCCGAGCAGTATCAGTACATACATATCTTTTGTCAACACAAGCAGCACGCCCATGTAGTTAACAGAATATAGATTATGCTTGGGAAAAAAAATATGTGGATAATAAGTCTATAGTTATTGATCTTACCAAATGTGTAGATAAAAAGTATGTATGACCAACTTAAATTACAATTTAAGTTTAGTCAAACATGCACATGGTTAGATGTGCTACAATTGCATGATTATTTAGCAACATCTGCATGTTACATGAATGTAGCCCATACATAGGTGCTGAAGATGATATATAGAACCCCTTGGTACAATGTAAACTGACAGGATTTTGCAATATTTGTTTTATCTTGATCACACAAGATACTGAATGACAATAAACAACAAAACATCATACTTCAAAAAAAGTATAGCCTATACCTTGGTGGTGATGCTGCACAATCCCCAGATCATCCACGCTCTACACAAGCCAAATGTAACTGTAAATGATCAAAAATACATGTATTGTCCCATAGATGCTCAAGACAGAGGATAATGAACATATACTATTATAAGTAGCATGCCAGTTCCAGGTATGTTAGAATGCCAAACAATTGCAAACAACTATCAGGACACATTTGATAAGTTTGCTTACCATTAAAGGACAAAAAATATTGGTTGGTAGCATCAGGGATTACAATGGCTGCATCATACAACTGGTAAAGAATGCTTAGCTGATGCAATGCAAAGTGAGAGATCATTACCTTGAACTGGTCATAGACTGCTTGCAAAAATGCACGAAGCGTCAGAACCTGCCTTGGGAGGGGAACAACAGCTGGAAACGGCTGCTAATACCCCGTAGGCTGAGGAGCACAAGGAGGAATCTGCCTGAGGAGGGGCTTGCCTCATTAAATGGGCAGAATTGTTGATACACTTTATTGGGGTTGTCCGCACAACAGCCTAGGTTTCCATTTTATGAACTTGACAATATTGCTAACAATATTTTCTTCTGTTAATTCTATAACAGTCTGTAGCAGTTGTTCACAGCTCTTCATTTCATACCTGCTACAATGCCTTCAAATGATTTGAGCTTATCTAGAATAATTTCAAAGTATGATTTTGATGTTCTAATTTGGATATTCAGCTTGCATCAGAGAAAGGGGAGTATAACAGCCACCTCTCCTTTTTTTAATTTCTTTGGTGTTCATTTTCCAACATTCTCGTTCTTTTTATTTTTTATTCTTAATTTTGAAGTGGTGGGGAGGGGAGGGGAGGGAGGTGGGATAAATTAAGTGTGACAGCCTGCAGGTGGTACCTCTACACACTCATCAGGGTCAACTCTTAGAAGGATTGCTAAATGAAGTCGTACTATTCAATAATGACAAAAAGATTACAAAGAGATTATATAAAGTGTAAAACCTTAGAAAACATAAAAGTCCAAAATACCCTTAATAAAGAAACTACGTAACTTATGAGTTTCGTTGCTCAACCAGTAATTCCAATTTCTGTCTCTCAATGATAGTGTCTCAGAGGAAGAATAACTTCCCCTCTAAGCTATTTCAAATCATAAGCCATTAACAATACTCTATTCCTGTTTACCATTTCCAATGATGAACAGGAAGCTCAAAATTACCACTTCCAGCATAAGAACTTCAGTGAAGGCATCCATATTTTTATTTCATTCACAAGGGATCATATAAAATAGCTGAAGTGTAATTTCCCCAGCACAACATCTACACAAAGTGGTCTCTCGACACTATTTGAACACAATCAATCCACATAGTTGGTGTGATTCAAAAGTTAGAGAGAGAGAGAGAGAGAGAGAGAGGTCTGAAATACAACTAGTTTAATGTTCTCTGAAGAAATAAGTACTTATGTTAGAATATGTTTCATTTTCTATTAATTTGTATTTCCACTTAGAATGGATGTTTGGCTCATGTACCACTCTTGAGCAGTCAAATGAAGGTTGCTTTATGCACACCTCTAGGATGTGATTCTATAAAAAAAATTTGCCTTTATGAAATCGATTATAAAATTGTATGTTTTCTTTTAACATCCATGAATTTCTATGCTCAGTTAACGAGCGAAATGAAACATTCAATATGGTCATAGCCAAAGAACAAAATGAGATCATTGATATGAATGTCTGCACCAAATCGGCAGTAAAAAGTGTATTGTTGTCATTAAAATAACAAGTTCGTGGAGTTTAAAAATTCCAAAACAGAAGGTGGGAGGGGGCAAGCCTCTGATGAACATAAATACCATGGCCCATGGCCTTATTAATGGTTTAGTGAAAATTAATGTGGAAGCTGATTCAAGTATTGAAGAAGGCTGATCCTATCAAACCAAAAATATATTGAGAGTTAAGTGGACTCCTGAGCATGCAGCAGGGCAGGGAACTGAGCCAAAATGAAACATTTACAATAAAAAAAAAATTGATATAAAATTCTGCAGATAATTCAACTCACCACCGTGTAATTGTTGTTCGATAGGCAAATCTCCAAGCTCCGTGGCCCGGGAAACAAAGAGAAGATGTGTACGAACGAGATATCCAGCAACAAGAAGAACAGTCAGGCGCCGATGAGCACATTGAACTATCCATGTGAAAAATGAAAAAGAAACCATTCGTACTCATAACTCAAGTTGGATAACTCTCAAATAGCTTAAAGGAAAAAAATCTTTAATAAATTTCATTCTCAGTATTTGCTGACGCATTCGTGCATCAAAACTAGCTTCATCTTCATCACTATGGTCAAGGGATTTGGGGAATCCAGCCTCCGATTGTTTCAATTGTTCTTCCCTCTTTGTGCTCAAAGCTTCCCTGACAGTTAACTGCACATCCCTTTTTATTGATGCATTGGCTGAATTCTGCATTAGTAAGTTCCTTCAGAGTCGTCTTGCATTTAAAACTCCAGCAGCACTTGTAAGATGCACATTAATCTCTTTTACAAATATTGTAAGTAACAATTGGAATTTATATTTCCAACAAGACTTCCGACATGCATGTTTAGAAATAGAAGGGTAGCTGCATATTAATTTAACAAATTTTTTGCATTCACAAGAATACTGAGTACATGCATCTAGGACACTATAACCACTCTTTTCGCTTTATTTCAATTAGCCAGTATTTCCAACTAGACTTTGTAATTTCGAAATTATCCCCATTCTTTGTTTTGTTTTGTTTTTTTTTTTTTATAACCGTGGATGTTCGGGCCAGTTTGCGCGCAGCTCAATTAATTTTCTGAATTCACAAGAACATTGAGTACATGCATCTAGGACACTATAACCACTCTTTTCGCTTTATTTCAATTAGCTAGTATTTCCAACTAGACTTTGTAATTTTGAAATTATCCCCGTTCTTTGGTTTTTGATAACCGTAGATGTTCGGGCCAGCTTGCGCGCACCTCAACTAATTCCACGGGACTCTGAAATTTACGATCGGGTACTTACCTCAGTGCCCTGAGGGGACTCGAACTGGTGACCATTAGGGAGCAAATCCAAAGTCCGACCAATTGAGCAACCGGTTTATCCCCATTCTTTGTTACTGACATTTGACTAAATTGGATTGCCAAGTACATTATCAGTTTTCTGGAGCCAAATTATCCTAGCATGTGCAATGTCATCTTAAATTTTCTCCACATCCTTCCACTTTCTTCGTTGATCTACTCCAAATGGTTATACTGCTTTCTTGATGAAATTCATCCAAACAGAATTATTTTGCTGTTGTCCTCTCTCAAGCAGAGTGCTCTCAGGAAGCATTCCGGATGCTTTTTTTTTTTTACCCATGCAGCCATACAGCTTTGGATAATAGGAGTATGTTATTACTGATATTGTTGTTGCTGTTTTAGGTTTCACACTTACAATTACTGCAGGTCTGCGTGTTGGTTCTCACAGTAGGCCTTGCTTCATCCTATCGAAAAGCAATTGGGAACTTTTTTCGCCTACACATCTTTATCATTTCAAGAACTTAGCCTAAAATTTTGACACCGTCCTCAGAAATTTAAACAAGAAACTATTTCGTGAAGTAAATCGGAGTGTGCATTCATTCACCTTAAATTGTTCCATGTACTTCGAAATTCAAAAATTAGACAGACAAATTTTAGTTAATGATATAACAGACAGAATTCTCTCTTATGCATACACGATTAGCATGCACATAAAAAATAATTGTTCTGCTTTGTCTGATATTCGTTTTCTTGACTATATAACCATAAAAAATTCTCTCTTCAATAAACTGAATTTTTTTCCACTAAAATTCTAGTTCAGTCAGGGGTTGAAAAAATAGAAATGATATATGTGGCATGGAACTTAGTTTAAAAGATGACAATGCATAAATAGGGAAAAAAAAAGGAAAAAAGTTTTTAAAGATGCAGCGTCAAGGTTTACATGCTTTTCCAATTAGAATTAGATTTTAATGAAGTTAATTATTTAGAGGTGTCAATCTTAACTTAGTATCTCCTTCTATCATTATGTTCTTTTACACTATGAGACTAAGATCATACATTGTTCAGGTAATATCGTTACAGAAATAGTATATCACAGTAAACCACAACTGACAAATTGGATAGTTACCAAATTATTATCACAGTTTTCATCCTTTAGGAGGCAAGGATCATTCAACACGTCATGACTGCTCTTGATCTTGGTATTGACAGCTGCCAGTTCCTTCTCCTCTTCTTCAGCTTCTTCTCCAAATGACAGCAAGTTCAATTTTCTGCACAACAAACCCCAAAAAGAACATACATAGTTAAAATTTTACAGCAATAAGTTTCACTATTCAAGCAACTATGTCTCTCGCAGAGTCAAGAAAATGGACTTACTTAGTTGCTTTCTGCTTTGTATCTCTCCTTCCACCATCCAATGTTGACGGCAAAGTCTTTGAAGGGGCTACTCTTGGGACAATATCATCAAATGGATTCCATAATACCTATGAAATGGTTCCAAGGAGAAAATGTGGCAGCAATCTCAAGGTACAATTCTATCATTGCTAAAGTGAGAGAATAAGATCAAATAAAAATAGCCAAGCATCAATAAGAAATGCAACAGTAATAAACATCATATATATTCATATTGTCACAGCAAGAACGCAATGCAACGTCTACACATGAAAACCAACCACTATTTTTTTTTTCAATGGGAACAACCTATTAATGCTAAGATGAATACATTAACTTCAAACGTATCAAAAAAAGGATAATTTCATTTTATTCCCTCGAAGATAGAGCAAAATTCTATTGTATATGGGCTGTGCCTATGCAAATTAAAGGAATGTTTGACTTTATATACTCTCTCATACGGACAAGTGTGACTAGATATCCACAAAAACAAACACTAAAGTACAAAATTTCAAGACAAAAGCAACTTTAGTACCTCAACTGATAATATTTTTGGCGGATCTAATGGTTGGTCATCCTTATCGGTCTCTACCTCTCCTAGCCTTAAGAGATAATGAGCCTGTTTGGGCCAGATTTTAATCTTATTTTAATTTTAAGTCAAAGTTAAACAATCAATGTTAACCACATCTTTCATGGTCCCACATCTTTTCAACAACACATTTCAAAAATTTCGATCACAATCTACTTAAAATCTGATTTTAATATGCACCAAACACCCTCTATATTGAATCTCCAGTTACCCATAAACAAAAAATTGTGTCACATCACAATTAAGAATTCTTCAGAAACGATAAACAAAGTCTTTTTCCTGATAAATATGAATGTGATTACTTTTTCGAAAATTGTATGCTTCTTGTCAAGCCATTCACAATGGTCTAACGTCATGAAGAATTGGATTACATTTGAGTTTGGCAAGCTAGCACCAGCACATGCAACCAAACCCCTGTGTTTGAATCTTAGACGAGAATGGAATTCATCAGCAAATACCTCACAATAAATACTTTCACCGCCTGA